GGCTCCAGGAATACAAGGAGACCTTTACACATTAACCATGTGGCGGTTGACAAAGTTAAGAAAAAATCTCCGAAATTCAAGACGTGGGTTACACCAAACGAAGAGCAGGACAGGAGAATGTACGCCAGATCCAGGAACCAAGGAAAGTCAGAGTGTAGGGCTGAAAAGGAGTTCCAGAGGAGGACTGCAAGCAAGGTTAAGTCAAACCCAAAGGCTTTCTACCATTATGCAAAATCGAAATTGAAAATGCATGTAAGCATATTGAGATCTGAGGCTTGATGATGGTAGTTACACAGATTCAGATCAGGAAAAGCCAGAGGCATTAAACAAATTCTTTTCCTCATGGTTCACAAGAGAGGATTCGAATAATCTTCCTGCATTTGAGGAAAGACAGTTTGGCACAGCAATGTCCTAAATTGTGTTCTCAGAAGAGTATAATATATTAATAGTCAAAGCTAAAGGTTCATAAGAGTTCCTGCTCTGACATGGTGCATCCCAGAGTGCTAAGAGAGTTGTGCAACGAGCTTGCTGAGCCCCTTTAGATCCTGTCCTGTAAATGTCTGGAGGAGCAAAATGTCCCTGGTGACTGCAAAATGGCTTATGTGAGTCCTATGTTCAAGCAGGGCGATCGTCACTCCACGAATAATTATAGACCAGTGAGCCTGACCAGCATGGTTTTTGAAGTACTGTACTAGAGAGCATTATAAGAAATGTCATAATTGAACATCTACCATGAAACAACCTTGTAAAGGACTGCCAACATGGTTTTATGCCAGGATTCCCCTGCTTGACACAATTACTCAAGGTGCTGAGATGTTTGGACTCAAATTCTGGAACAGGGCAGAAATGTTGACAATATACAGTATACAGTTTAAGGTAGTAGGTAGCAGGCAGCTATCAAACAGGGAGGTACTACCGCCTGGGAAGATATTGGAAGCATAATGTGTTGTCTAATGGTAGACCCTGCTGCCATATGGCATCACGAATATTGTGACCAAGTCCCAAGTTGCTGATCTGTCTTTCTGCCTCATTTACACACAATTGCAGGATCTCAATTGTTTCTCTTACTGTTGACAACACAACATACTATACATATAGCATTTCTCACTATTGATTATTGTTTTTCTTTTCTTTATTATCATTATTACAGTGTTGTTATTATTATTATTATTTTATTTTACTTTTTATTATAAATTTTATTTACTATTAATTACTATTATTATTAAATTTTTGTCCCCCAGGCCCCGATGTGGGTCAGTGACCTGTGCCCGGGTGGGCTAATCCCCATAAAAAAAAAATAAAAAAATAAATAAATAAAATAAATAAATAAAAAATAAATAAATAAATAAATAAATAAATAAATAAATAAATAAATAAATAAATAAATAAATAAATAAATAAATAAATAAATAAATAAATAACAAATAAATAAATAAATATATATATATATATATATATATATATATATATATATATATATATATATATATATATATATATATATATATATATATATATATATATATATATATATATATATATATATATATATATCCTGATTTTGCCAAGGCTTTTGACAGCGTACCCCATGAAAGGTTGAGAATTAAACTGGAAGGGTACGGGATTCGAGGAAGTGTCCTAGGGTGGATTGGAGACTTTCTTCATGAACTTAAGCAGTGGCATGACATCGGCATGTGAACTCGTGACAAGCAGGGTACCACAGGGCAGTGGACTGGGCCCATTGTTGTTATTTGTTTCATAAATGACATGCCAGAAGCTATACAATCCTCCATACAAATGTTTGCGAACGATGCCAAGGTTGTCCATCCCTCATAACACTCTTCAAGAGTGAGGTGCTTCCCCATCTTATCCCCGAGGTATGCTAGAGACTGCCAGTTGATTGAAAATGTCCAAAAGAGGTCCACCAGACTGATGCCTGCACTACAGCACCTCAGTTACCTAGTGAGATTACAATGCCTACAACTGCCTAACTTATACTTTAGACATCTCAGAGAGCACTACTCAGTCGAGTGTCCATACCTGGATCTGGTGGACTTCCACCCCATAAGGGGTCACAGCTCAAGGTTGATAAAACCACACATCTTGAAAACTGTGAGGGAAAACTTTTTTGGGGTAAATTATATATTCCATCAAGTAAGGTGTCTGGGCTGCCCTCTGCAATTCCTAGCATGATATACAGTATCAGAATGCAGGGGTTTGCATATACAGTACTGTATAGCTACTCTTAATATGACATTTGTAATGAGAATATATAGTAACCTTCGTGAATGATGTATTGAAACATTGAAATATGACACTTCAATGATGCCTTGCTAACCTACACACCACCGTCATGACTTGGGTGAGGCTATAACAACCCTATACCCTTTACTTTACTTTTATAAACTCCACCACTGATCGGCTTGTTAGCCGCTTGGGCGGTCGGTCACATCTCTGATACGCACTCTTGGCAGATACTGAGCATGCACTGGCTCCTGAATATATCTGGCCCTGAATGAGCTCACATTCGGTGCCATCACAACGCTCTCCGGGATTGCTCCAAGAGTTCACAATTCTCACTCCGAAAAAGTTTGCCCTCACAGTTGCTTTACTGTGGCCTAAGTTATCAACCTGCAAGTAAAAGCATGCTTTATTGTAATAGCAATTGTTTTTTATAACATAACTCTATTAATGAGTAGCTAACTGTAAAAATGTGACACCCCTCTACCCACTTCTCCCGCCGTCATCTCACCTCACCGTCCAGTAGACAACAGTTAGTCATCTGTAATGAAACTAAAAAAAAGTACAGGTGGAACTCTCCCACCCCTCTAGCCCCCCTACACTCAGACCCTGCCACTCACTCACACAGTGTCTCCAGTCCTCCCCCAGCCTCCCTCTCTCCCTTGCTCGTAAATGCTTCGGATTCAAGAGCCGATACTCCCGGGTTCTTACCACACAGATAGGATGGATTGACAATGCTGCTTGTAACAGTTGGAAGTGGAAGAAGCTGTACATTATAACTAATCATAATCAGTACTGAAAATGCCCAAGAGATTAATGTATAGTGATCACCCAAAAATGATGTACGTATGAGTTGGAAATAAAGGTATGGTAATACAAAGATTATTGCATGCAAAATAATGTAACACACCAACAGGATCTCATGGTCACGTGATTCTCTAGATGCCATTCAGTGCGTGCTACCATTGTGGTGTCTCAGAATCAACGGGCAATAAGTTCAGGAAGACAATGAGATAAACAAACGTTTTGGCTGGGGTGGTGCTTACCAAGTGATGTCAGCAAACCAACCTATTGTAATGATTGCTGCAATATGTCTAGCAATAATAATTATGATAATTATACACCTAGGCTTTGCCAAGGTTTTCAATAGCGTATTTCATGAAAACCTAAAAATTAAATTGGAAGGGTACAGAATTCATTGGAATGTTCTCACATAGATCAGATTTTCTTCATTACTGCAAGAAGGGTGGTGATTAATGGCATGACATTGTCATGTATACCCATGACAAGTGGAGTACCACAGGGCAGTGTACTGGTACTGTTTTTTTTTTTCATAAATGATATGCCAGATGCTATACTATACATTCCTCCAAACAAATGTTTGCAGCCAACGCTAAGTTATTCAGGAAAATGGAGTGTGAAGCGCTACAGGAATACAAGTACGTACAGTATATCCATCAGCTTCAGGAGTGGTTAAGAGAATGGTCGTACCACTAGTAAGGAGCTGTATCTCGTCATCAATTAAAGATTAAATCTTCAACGGTGCATATTCGCTGGTTTGTAAAAACAATGATGATATGTTCCAACGGACGAAGAAACATAATTAACCGAGACCAAATGTGCATCTTCACAATGAACTGAAGTTCTCGGACCATTCTAAGAAAAAAGTAAATCAAGCAAATACGTTAGTAGGTCTATAAAGAAGTTCGTTCACATACCTAGATGGTCCATTCTTCATAACACTCTTCAAACGTGAGGTGCTTACCCGTTTGTAGTATATTTTGGTCCCCGAGATATGCTGGAGACTGTCATTTGACTGATAATTAGTGTCCCCCCAAAATTGTCACCAAACAGGTGCCTGCACTCTGGCTACAGAGGTACCAAGAGAGTTTAGAACACCTGCAGTTACTTAGCTTTTACGGTAGAGGGGCAAGGGGTGATTTAAGAGAAATTTACAAGCATCTCAGAGGACATCACTCAGTCAAGTGTTCGTACCTGAATCCAGTTGATGCCCGTTCCACTAAAGGTCACAGCCTCAGGTTGAAGAAGCCACAAGTTTAGAAAATTATCAGCACAACTATTTTTGGAGAGAAAGTTGTGAACTCTTGGAACAATCTGCCAGAAAGTGTTGTGGTAGCATTAAGTCTCAGTCCATTCAAGGCCAGACTTGACCAACACTGGTGCAGGTTCAGATACATTCTTGAGCCAGTACACGACCAGTACAGGGCACTTGCCAACAGGGCATAGCAGAGATGTGACTAACTGTCCAAGCATCTAACATGGTGATCAGTGACAAAGAAGATAAAGTTCAGTATGGTACAGTAATGCATACATCCAGCTAAATTTTATTTATTTTATTCATATAAAACTAAGAGTATTAACATATACCTGTACAATTATTACCATTACTCTATGAAAGGATATTTCACTTTTATCATACCTTGTATTATTCTATACATGTCCATATCTCTTTTATGTCAACTTTATACATATCTTGGTAGGAGTAAAGTTGGGAGAAGTAGAGATAGAAAAGGAGAGGGAAGAGGGGAGGGAAGGATTTGTAGTAGAGGTATAGTATGTGTGTGGTAAAGTGAGACCTTGTCTGGTAAAATAAAAATAACTGGCGGGCCTATGTGTGTGTGTGTGTGTGTGTGTGTGTGTGTGTGTGTGTGTGTGTGTGTGTGTGTGTGTGGCGGGCAAGAGTGTGGTATTGTCAGGGGCAATCTTAGTCAAGGGCCTACCACCATCACTCCCGGCAGGTCTGACAGTGGGTACTCCAACACGTCGTCTCCGCGAGGCTCTACACTCACCCTGCACCCAGCAGCGCCAAGCCCGCCTGCCGCTGACCCCACCAAGTTGCCCAGGTGGGTCACCAAGTTGCCCAGGTGGGTCACCAAGTTGCCCAAGTGGGTCACCAAGGACAGGTGGGTCATCAGGTACAAGTGGGTCATCAAGGACAAGTGGGTCAAGAACAGGCGAGTCATCAAGTGCATGTGAGTCATCAAGTACAGGTGAGTCATCAAGTACAGGTGAGTCATCAAGTACAGGTAAGTCATCAAGTACAGGTAAGTCATCAAGTACAGGTGAGTCATCAAGTACAGGTAAGTCATCAAGTACAGGTGAGTCATCAAGTACAGGTGAGTCATCAAGTACAGGTGAGTCATCAAGTACAGGTGAGTCATCAAAGACAAGTGGGTTATCAAGGACAGACGTATCATCAAGGATAAAAGGATAAATGGTCATCAAGAACAGGTGAGTCATGAAATACAGGTGGGTCATTATGGAAAGTTTTGTACCCAAAGACACACTTCCTTCTTTAGTATCACTAGACTTCCCATGTTAATTAAGTACCTGTACATGCAGGACAGGCATCCCCGGATTATGGAAACTCTGGTTACGGAAATTCGTCTTATGGATTTTGTAAATTATGACCAATAAATTTGGGATACGGACAAAAAATTCTCCCTTACGGAAGTTGGGTAATTTTTTTTTTTCAATACTATTCAAAAAAATAATTCACGGAAATTATAAAACTTATTTTGTGTGGATTTCATGGTGGTTGCTACAATACTGTACAGAGTGAGGCAGGAGCCAGTAGTGCCCCTCCGTCTCCCTCCCAGTAACTTGGATTGCACCACCTTACCTCACCATCTCACCTAACGCAGCACTCAACATTGTTTGTGGTAAGTTAAATTCAAGTGTTTTGTATATTTATTATCAAATTATATCATAAAATTATCAATGTATGTGTTAAAAAAAATTATTTTCATTCATAAATGTGCTTGTATTACGTCTTTTTGCCGAAAATATTTCCTTAGGAACGCATCTCCAATTATGTAATGGAAGTCAATGGGAAAATTGGTTTCGCGTTACGGAATTTCAAGTTACGGACAAGTTTTCAAGGACACATACCTTTCGTAACCCGGAGGATGCCTGTATTCGGTTAGCCCGTAATTTTTGCTTACCGGTAAGGTGCTTAAGAAATAACCTGTGAATTAAATTCGTACTTCCCTTCAAAAAGTATTAAACATCTTATAAAGGCCTTAACAGATACACATTATCCAACTCCATACATTACTGTACTGTACTCCACACATTGAACATGATCTCATGGATAATAAACATTTTTGGATATTGCACCCACTCAATCTATCATGATAATCTGTGATTCATTGCTCACTCTAGCTTCTGCTTTTAACTTGTCTATAATTTGCACATTTTCTTCAATGGTACAGGTCAATCACTACCTTTTTAGTCTCAAAAGTAGATACAGTACTGTACTGTATATGAGGGATAACACACTGTACAGGTAGTATAACAGAAATTGCACCATGCTGGGGCCAAACTAGTTTTTCCCGATTACTGTATGTACTGTACAGGACAGTACAGTACAGCTGTATGCAACTGAAACTTAATCTTGCAATCCATCTAGTGTGTAATATACAATATTGTACTGTATTACAATATATAGCCTACTTGTCTTGAGGTTTTATATTTATTTTACTTCATACACACAACTGTAGTCTATTAATACTGGTTGGTAAAGGATGGGGACCTACGAGTATTTTAGCTATTCTAAAAAATTCACGACTCATCAATGGGCATTATTCCATGCAGTGTGAACTACAGATTTACTGAGATTCGTCTGACTCACAATTCCACAACTCATGTTTTACAGAAAGTAGGTAACATTTCACATAGGGTATTGATTTAAATGTGTGATGTATCACAGACAGGGTATTGATTTAAATGTGTGATGTATCACAGACAATCCATTGGCATAGATTGAGGGTTTGTTGTATAATACAGCCTTTACTACACACTCGTGCATTTTGGTACAGGTTGACAACCCTTTATCCGAAATTCCAAAAACAGAAAAGCTCTGAAAACCGAATTTTTTTTTGTGGAGCAATTTTTTTTTTTTTTAGCCCACCCAGGCACAGGTCACTGACCCACATTGGGGCCTGGGGGGTGAAAATGTAATAGTAAAATAATTATAATAATAAAAATAATGATAATACAGTACAGTAATAATAATAATTATTCATAGTAAATAAATTTTTTAATAAAAAATACACAAAAATAAAATAAGAATGATAACAATAATAATAATAACAATAATACTGTAATAATAATAATAATAATAATAATAATAATAATAATAATAAAGAAATACAAGAATGAAAAAAAGATCAAAAGTGAGAAACACTACCTAGACCTATGAATCATCATCATCATGCCCCCAGGCCCCAATGTGGGTCAGTGACCTGTGCCCGGGTGGGCTGATCCCTGTATATAATAAAAAAAAAAAAAACCCTAACCATTCTGAAAACCGAAAAATTCCAAAAACCGAAATGCATCTGGTCCCAAGGATTTCGGATAAGGGATTGCCAACCTGTAATTGAATGACTACTTCTCTATAATAGTGTATTCTGGCAAAGTGAGAGGTATTCAAGAGAGAAGAACTAAGTTCAATACAATGTAAAGTTTTTATACATTATCTGTTGACACTCACAAAGAGGCCTCATCATTTTATCCAAAAATATTCAACACTTTATGACATAGTTGGAAGTGAAGAGAGGTGTGGTATGGATAGAGTGGGTGTGAACTGTTAGTGGCAAAATGGTTGTTTTATAGTCAAATACTGTACTGTACTGTAGGTTTTATGCAATACTCTGACTTGTATCTGTGTGCCATGTCAGCTGAAATACACCCAATGACCTTTAATTGTGGGACATTGAGTTGGAGAACTTAAAGGTACATCATGTGACCTTAACTAAGGGTCACAGTTACCTTTATATGTGGGTACATTTTACAATCATAATTTTCACAGTGACATTTACCTATAAGTCATGGGGGAGGTACCAAGCAGCCCTGTTATTCATGCCTGTAGAGGCAGAGAGAGAATGTTGATATGAAAAAGGATACTTTCAGGTACAGTATTTAGTACAAGGTACAGAGTAATTTTTTTTAACTCGGTGATCACTGGTAAAATTAATATTTTATCAGTAAAAATGGAAATAAAATACAATACAGTATAATATGTACAGTGCAGTACAGTATATACCTGTATAAAACAAAGTACATCATCTGTAATTACAATGAGTGAAACCTGCTGGTAAGGTTAGGTATATGAAACAAGTACAGTACCTGTACAGTACGAGAGTAATTAACAAAAGAGAATTTGGCTCCCATTTCATAAACTATTCCTCCTTCCTTTCTTTTTCAAAAATATTTGTTCCTTTCTAAGAAGGAAATAATTTGGCTCTCATTATATGAAGTTAAATTTTTTCTGTAAAATTATATCAAGCACTATCTATCTACAGTACGTACATCCTTTTTTGGTAATGTTCGTGGAATCTGTGTACAGTACTGTACTGTATAAACAGTAATGTATATATATACAGTACAGTACTGTAAATTTGCTGTTAGTTGAACCTGTCAACTTTATTCAAATTGTATTTTTTCTGTGTTTTTACACAATGCAAGTTTATTATCATGAAATTTTTTGCCGGTAGATTATCATCATCATCATCGTTTTATGGCCATTTTCCACGCTAGCGTGGGTTAGCCGCAGTTACCTGATGGCAGCTCTCCATTTTGCATGTCTCTTGCAGTCTCCCTTATCAGGTTCCTAACTCTAATATTATTTCTTAAATAATCCTCGCCCCATGTCATTCTTGGTCTACCCCAGGCTCTCCTCCCCTCCCCATTTTGGCACATACACATTTTGACCTAACTGATCTCATCCATTGGTATCCACTGTAAATTTTTCCGAGTTATTGAGATCTTTTAATATAGTATTTTTAGTTTTAATTAATATATATTGTGCATTTCTGATCTTTTAGTTTATTTTGCCCTATCGCTGAAAAGGTGAGGAATAATAATCAGATGATCTGTTTAGCATGTTAAGAAAAGTGCGGACCTTTATACTGTACAGTACACAGTACAGTACTGTACTGTGTAATGTAAGTGGAAACTGGATGTAACAAGTGAAAGCATGTGGTCCTATAATTTCATTATTAATGTGGGTAAGATTAAGAATACTATAAGTGAAATTAAATTGCAATTTCAATAAAACATTGATCAATAATACAATTTAACATAGAGAAGCATGAAAGAGAATGCACTAAGCTACTATAGACTGTTTTTTTATTTATTTTATAGTTTTACCACCATGTCTTCCAGTATTTTTCGTAGATTATTACAATCATCAAGTATACTGTAGTAGATGAAGATTTAAATATCATAATAAATAATATAGATGCTGTAGTAAGCATTATTATTGAAAATAAAAACAATTCTGGTAAGGTAGGTAACCATTAAATAAAAAAATAAAAAATTGTAAATCAAACTGTATGAAATTTCTAAAGAATAACTTTTCATTTACTTTATACAGTAGAGTACTGCACAGTACATGTTTCACAAAAACAAACAAATGTAAATTAAATGGGCTCTTATGTTACAACAAACATGTACCATACAGTACACACTTCCCGTCAGTGTCTAGACCTGTACAGTACATGTACTGTGCTACATAGTGTGTTTGTAATTTTATTCCTGTATTGCTGACTAAGTAAAGAGTCAAGAATGATAGCATAAATAATTTTGAATAAGTTTAATATTTTAGTTAATTTTACACAGTGCACTAGTAAAATAATGTAGAGAGCAAATTTCTGTATGTGCTATTCACTGCGTACTGTAACACAAAGAAAATCATAGGAAGAAATTAATAAAACTTATTGGATTGTAGCATTTAAAGACCATGAAATTTTCAGTGAGTAACACATACCTAAAATACTTATTTGCTCACTTTTACAGGCCACTGTCAGCACCTGGTCATTTGCCGCTAGTTCCTCGCCTGGTCTTACCCAACCAATCTACCCATACCCAGACTGAGACCCCACCCGCTTCTGCTCAGTCACGGACCCCTAAGTCCAACATTCCCCGCCCAGCTAAGCCCACTCCACCCCCCAAACCTGCCTCCATAAGAAGAGCTGTCTCTAACCTGACTCGGCGTCCCACTAGCATTCCTTGCAAGTCGAGGTTAGTTGCTAGGTGTGCGAGGTAGACATTGTGCTCCTACAGTGAAGGACAAAACTAAAACAACTATATTCTGATTTATACAAGCTTACACTAAAAGGGAAATAGGCATCTGAATAAATCGTATCAAGTGCCTTGAAAAATATATTTCATGTACATACACTGCATTTACTAAACCATCATAAAAGCTTTCAGTCATGAGAATCAGTATTGTTGTTAATACTCTATACAACAGAAAAATATTAAGAACTCAAGACACTGAAAAATATTACAGTAAAATAAAATTTTGAAATACGTTTTGATTGAGTCATACCCTACTTTTTTACACTTTATATTTCAGCTTGTTTCAGAGAACTAATAAGGTCTAAGATATGTGCTTCCAATTCATTAATATTACAGAGGATGGTCAGGTGCAAAAACTACACCCACAACTCCTGTGACTACACCTACACACTCTGCTAAACCACGGCTACCTTCAGCTCGAACCCCAAGATCCTCTGGTCGTTCTACACCTAATACCACACCAACCACTCCCACACACTGTAAGTGTTATGCAGGGAAAATAATAAGATAAACACAAAGCTGCATTTTCCACAAACTGTACATAAGCTGTAGTAGTTCAGTACAGTACACTGTAGTGTATTGTAATCAATAAGCATGGGCTAGACGACAAGAACAGCATTTCAGGCCAACCTTGAATTTTGCCATTTTGTTTACAAAATACAATAATATTGTTAAACAATAATCAAAATACAGCAATGATAGCTACTGCGGCTACATTAATGTTTCAACATTGCCTTACATCATGAAATTTTATCTAAAGGTCGACGATATATGACATCTTTACAACGGACACCAGTACCCTCACCACGTCCTACATCAACCTCCCGGCCAACATCGCGACCCTCTTCCAAACCACCATCACGGTCACCTTCCATTTGTAGTCGTCTTCAGGAGTGCTACAACACCGTCCAATCAGAAAGTGTTACCGAGGCCCACAGAACAGATCTTGATAATAAGGTGAGTTCCAAGATGTACGCTTGACTAATTTTGCCATCATTCAAGCAAAATATCATAGATAAAGAGATCATAAATCAGGGGATACCTATACCTATTGTGGCACCATTTCTGGTTTTCTGTTTGACCTAAACACTCCTATGTCTGTGTTGTTTCCTCCAGGGTTCACTATTACAGTACTCCACTTAATTATTTTCAAGCTTCATCAGCAGTCACTGGTATCATTTTGTAATGTTTTAGATATACCTGTACTGTAGTTTCACCACTCTCTCTGATCATCCTCTGGAAGAATTGCAGTCTTGGACACAGCTACCAGGTAATTTAAATCTTCTGTATACAGTATAGTATTGTCATATGTGATACTAAATTTATTGGTTATATCCACACTATCTAGCCTCAACTCTTGCAAAAAGAACTGATCTTCAATCACGAACTTAACCAGAATGGCCTCGATGATTATGAATGCACTGCCAAATTTCTGTCGCTCTACAAACAAAAACCCAAATGTCAACATGTTTTGTTACAGAGATGCTACCTGACAAGCCCAACATGCTCAAGGTATACCCATATTCTTCACAGAAGATTTTCATACTCCTTTTCTGCCTTGTTTCTTACTTCCCCGAATCATTATGATTGCAGACAACATGAACTAGTCAAACCTTAGTTTGTTTTTTGCTATGCTCAGTTAGGTTGGTTTGATCTCATAATCTTTGTCATCATTAAAGATGTAGCCTGGTAATATACCTGAGGGAGCCTTATTGACAAGACTGTAATTCTTCTACTTCTTCTTAATCAGATCTGTATTTTATGTATCACAGTAGAATCCCAGTTATCCGGCACCTACAGAGATTGAGAGATGTCGGATAAAAGAGTTTTACCAGTTAATTGAAACTCACTCTTAAGATCCCTCATAAATTTTACAATGCACAATGCTACAGGTCAGCCTCGCAAATTTGTGTCTCAGAAAAATAGACTTCTTTAACACTTACTCCACTCTATATAAATGATGTACAGGTTGTACCTCTCTTGTCCGGCAACCTCGGGAACTGACCGGTGCGGACCATGGAAATTTCTGGACCATGGAAATTCACCCTTTTCCTGGATAGATAGTGACTTTTGCTTATGTATGCTTGGAAGCACTAGCACCACCTTCTCTGCTTCATGGTCTCTTTGAAGACATATTGCAGGGTTAAATGTCGTACAGTAGCTTCTCAAATTTTCGCGAGTTTTTAATTCGACGTTTTCTATTTGAACACACAAAAAAAAACACAATTAAAAATTTTGACGGCGGAAACTCGAATTTCGACGGGTTTGAATGGCCCACCAAAGTTCAGACGACATGCACAATCGTGTAAACAGCGTCATTTCTCTTATGTACAAAGGATTCATTATTTTTTACTCCTGAAAGTCTTTTTGATTGAATTAATGTTTATGTGTGCAAAATGAGCAATACAATTCATTAATAATACGTAGAATATTAAAACACGAGGAAATGAGACAGCATTGTTTTCGTTGATTACAAAACCAGTGACTGACTGGTTCTACATATAAAACTGAAGAAAATAAGACCCTGGTTGTAGCTGTAGTAAAAGTTAATATGGTTGTTTTAAGTAATGTTATTTAATGTTAATAAATGGAACAATAGAAGTAGCTAACGATAATGGTAAAGAAAAAAAGAGAGATCGCGTATGTAAGTGCGCACACGTGAAAACATATCGGCATTACTTTACATAAGAATATGAAAGCAACATATACTGTATATTTTAATTAATGTTTCTGAATTTGTTTTTATTGAATTAATGTTTGTGTGTGCAAAATTAACAATACAATTTATTAATAATACGTGGAATATTAAAACACACGAGGAGACGAGACGGCTGTCGGCATTATTTTTGTTAAAGCTTACAAAACCAGTGACTGATTGGTTCTACATATAAAACTGAAGAAAATAAGACTCTGATTGTAGCTGTAGTAAAATTAATGTAAAAAAATTAATGTGGTTGTTTGAAGTACCTGTATGTTATTTAATGTTAATAAATGGAACAATATAAGTAGCTAACCATTAATGGTAAAAAGAAAAGTGAGACTGCGCGTATATAAGTGCGCACATGTGAAAACATATCGTCATTACGCTACATAAGAATATGAAAGCAACACTTATTTACTGCTCATATATATTGAAGGGTTAAATGTTGTACTCTGTATGGACAAGCAGAGAGAGAGAGAGAGAGCAGCCGAATTGCCGGATGTAAACAAACCTTAATTTCCCACGGCTTTGTTGTTGTTGTTTTTTTACGGGGATTATCCCACCCGGGCATAGGTCACTGACCCACATTGGGGCTTGAGGAGCAAAAATTTAATACTCCTGTAATAATAATAATAATAATAATTCAGATAAAAAAAAAAAAAAAAACCTGCCTATCTACCTATTGGACAAACTAAAATCGTTCCAGACCACAGAATGCCGGACTAGAGAGGTACAACCTGTAGCTTGTAAATAAATAAAATATAATATAAAACTATAAATAAGAAAAATTAAGAGCATGGGTGTGTATGTGTGGGAAACGGATGTATGTGGAGGTGGTGGGGCTATAACTACGTTGCCGACTCTCCAGCCAGGCTGCCGCATACAGTATATTGTTACTTGTAATGAAATTATAAAAATTGTGCAAAAATCAGTACAACACCTTGTTCACTAAAGTGGCTGAGGAATAAACTATAAAATAAGAAAAATGAAGAGCTGGGTGTGAATGTGTGTAGAGGCGGTGGGCTATAACTGTGTGGTCACGCTCCCTCGTGATAAGACGTCATGGCATACACATGGCGCAGAGCAGCAGCCATATGTCTGAGTCGGCTGGTTGGCTGCTTGGCCGAAGTGGGTCATGTCGCCTGAAGTGAGTCACAACGCCCAGTGGATGGTTTTAATGTGGAAGGAGATATTTTTTGTACATAAAATATGTACTACTTGTATTACATTTTATGATATGTTATGTATTGATTTTATTGTTTATCCTAGCAATTGTTTATCCTAGCAATAAATATGGTAGCTCATCCCCATTGCGAGCAGCATGCAAACTTATGATACTACTGCAGCTGATTTTGGAGGAATTTTTATTATTATTTATTGTAATTCATTTTGGTGCCGGTTCGTTGAATCTACCAGTTGCCCGGATACTGGATTACTGGGATTCTACTTTATATAAAAAAATAAAAATAAAAAATAATAAAAAATTCTGACAAAATAACAAGGCATAATGTCGTGGATCCTATCTTTAACCTTTACCTTTGTTATTAGTTCCCATTCAGTGAATAAACTATAAAAAACCTTCATTTGAATTCAAGTTAGAAAAAGGTGTGGGTTTTTAAGAGTACTGTACTGTATAGTACAGGGTGTATATTTAAACAATGATATCTACAGATCATCAGGAATTTTATTATTATGGGTGAGACCATTGGAATTCTTATTTTTGTTTATTAAGAACTGGCATATCATTTAGCTCCTTGGTTCCCAATTAATGGGCCACAGAGGTATGTCATATGTATGATATACATGTACAGTACTGTACAGTGTACTGTACAAGAGCATACTGTAAGTGTCCACTGAATAAATTTTTTACTGCTTGTAGAAAAGCTTCCCTTGAGTGGTATTATGGTAACCATCCATATTTCTGCATTGCAGTACTGTAAAATATTATTTTTTTATACAAAATTAATTGAGATAATGCATTCACATGAAGTTCTTACATTCTCTTTCACATATGATACTATACATTAGACATACAGTATACAGTAAACACTTCACACAAGGACTTTATGTCTGTACATTAATGTAACCCATTTAAATGGGAAACAGTAATATAACTCATTTAAATGGGAATAAAAGTACAGAAATTATGAAAGAACACACCAAAGAACATCTAAGTTTTTAGGGGATACATACTGTACTACAGTATTTATAATTTACAGGTTCTTGACATTGCCAACGAGACTCGTGGTTACTGCGGCTGTAAAAATGAGAACTGCACCAAGTCTCACGTAAAGAGGGTAGCTGATGGCAAGTATGAGATCTGTGGCAGAAATGTCTATGTTCGGGTAAGTATTCTTCCGTTTTGTTATGTGTCACCACAATGATGGCTATCATGTTGATGGAACACTACTCTATTTTCTTTGTTATTATTACTGAACCTGTTAATATGAAAAACTTGCATGGAAAAGGATTTCAGACTTCTAGAAATACCGTACCCAGTACACTTAACTGTATAAGTAAAATTAAGGAGGAGGGTATTAAAGAGAGCAAATTTAATGATGGCTGATTATATTAGAGACAGTACACAGTTATCGATAAAATATATTTGAGAAAATGTGAGCAAAATAGATACTACTGTAGAAATTATAAATTTTAATGGAGATTTTGAAAATGTCTAGAAAATTTTCTTTACTTATTATGATGAATACTTCTGAACTCCACTGGTACATTTTATGTTGCCGATATACTGTATTAGGATTTGAAGATGGAGAGATTTTAACAGAAAAACATTAGCACAGTTTAAAATTTATATTCTCTAGGGGTGTTACAGGAAAGTTCTAACACTCAGGTTCCAAGGAGTGGGATTGACTGTCAGCTGCCCATCAATCTTTACATTTTATTTTATTACTGTACTAATATCACAATATTATGAATAAATTTCTTAGAGCATTACAAGTACTGTACTAATGCTCATAAAGTTTAAATTTTTCCCACTACAAGGATTTTTCTTCAAAGGTTATTCATTTTCAAATAATTATATTTGCAAAATATTCCCCAACTGCACAGACTAAAAAAAATTACATTACAGGCATCTCCATGTTACGGAAATTCGGGTTATGGAAATCGCCCTTACGGACCTTTGAAATTATGACCAAAAATTTGCCTTTACGGAATTATGGTAATTTTTTATTTTTCAAACATAAAAATCATGACATATAACAAAGAAATTCTCCCAAATTTGAAAATTATGGGTAGTTACTTCAAGACAGTTGGAGGGCGGCGCGTCTACCTCGCATCACAACAATGGCGCTGCTCCATTAGTTATGCATCTGTGTTCAGGACTGTATTTGTCCTTATGGAGTTTTGGTTAATTTATTAAGTTCTTAAAAAGAAAAAAATCCGATATAGAACAAGAAATTTCACCGAAATTATAACATTTATTTCGTGTGGATTCTTGGTGGTAGCTACAAGATGGTGTGTGCCTACCCAGCAGCCAGTACAACAACAATGGCGCTGCTCAGTTTCAATTTGTTCTCCAGCTTGCATTCAGTTCTGCATCTGTGTTACCCTGTACCCTTATTCAAGATGAGTGGAAAAAGACCATCGAGTTCAAGTGAAAGCAGTGGTGTTAAAAGATTCCATAAAGGAATTACGTTGGACATTAAACTTGATGTTTTAAGGAGGTAACTCCCAATACCTCCAACTGCACCACCTCACCTCATCATCTCATGCAGCACTCAAAGCTCTTTCTGTTGAGTTAAATTCAGGTGTGTAGTACATTTATTGCCATGTTCCATCATGAATTTGTCATTGTAGGTGTTTAAAATTGTTTCTTTTCATTCATATATGTGCTTGTATTATTTTTGGGGGCCGATTTTTTTTCCTTGGGAACACATCTCGACTTATAAAATGGGAGTCAATGGGAAAATGGTCCCGCATTATGGAATTTCGGAATATGGAAAATTTGTCAGGAACACAACCCTTCCATAACCCGGGGGATGCCTGTATGCACCACAAGTACAGTCATCATTTATTACAATATACAGTATTATAAAAAAAAATCACATCACCTCATCATCTGCATAAATCACGTCACTTCATCATCTGCATAAATTACATCACTTCATCATCTGCATAAATTACATCACTTCATCATCTGCATAAATTACATCACCTCATCATCTGCATAAATCACGTCACTTCATCATCTGCATAAATCACGTCACTTCATCATCTGCATAAATTACATCACTTCATCATCTGCATAAATTACATCGCTTCATCATCTGCATTAATCACATCCCTTCATCATCTGCATTAATCACTTTCCCCTAAATGGTGACTCTAAATACCCCTCATCAGAAGGGTGACAACACCGTAGTGAAAACTATTGTGTCATTGTGAAAGTTAATTTCATTGCATGGTAAAGGCAGGTCTGTACACTGCCGGCATTTTATATTTCAGAGAAACATTTTCTTGACTAAAGATAATACTTTAGAGAGTAGATATGAGTAATCAAGAAAAATGTAGTTTGTTAACAGGAATGGTACAACCTGTATTATTAGTTATCCAGTGAACTGAAGGCAGCCAAGATGGGTTATATGAGAGGTGGTGATAATAATGGAGGGACCAGATGATAAAGGGGACATCAGAGTGAAACCTGATTTTATGAAAGGAGTGACTAGTAAGGTAAGAGATGGGTTAGATAATTTAGAATATAAATTTACTGAATGTCAAGAAAATGAATAATACAAGAATATAAGCAGGAAGACTAAAGGTAAAGTGCTTGATATGGCAAGGACCTACTTGTCCAAGTCTTGATGCAGGAAGCTGCTGAAATAAGTTGAGATTATAATGCATGGAGGAGCTGTGCATCTAACCATTATTTTTGAAGACAGGGTGATTTAGGAAATAAAATGTTAAAATATCATTAGAAATAATTTGTTATTTTAAGGTCTATTTTTTCTCAGGGTGTAATTCTCATCGGTCTCTTAATCTACCTCTGTTCTAAGTAAAATGGCAGGGGCGGATCCAAATGGGTCTTGGGGGTCCGGACCCCCCCTTTCACCAGGAAATTCCAATATGTTTTATTTTATGCAGTATTGTACTCAGGCATTTTTATATAGTAAAAAGTAATTACTATTGACCTCAGAATATTTCTTAATATCAAGTGCACATGGCTTCAAAATGACCTCAAAATGACCATGATATTGGTCAGATTTCCAAAAATTTCTGGAGGGGGCTTACAGCTCACCCCCAAACCCCCCAATTGGGTAGGCTCACTGTGCTCGCCATGTTTCTCCACCCACAACTTCTTAAACCTCTCTTGATATTCCTGGATCCGCCCCTGAAAGGTGTACAGTAAACCCTCGAAGATCCGGACCCGGGAAATCCGGATTTCGGAAGATCCGGAAAAAAATTGGGGGGTTCTGGGCTAAGAAGCCTCCTAGAAGTTTCCCTAAGAAGCACTCTCAAACCAGAGTAAAGAACATTTTAGGCCCGTGGGCACTGTTTGACCCGTCAGTTGCTTGGACACAGGTGCCCGAGGAGGTGGGAAACTTAAAGAGATTTGACAACTGCTGTTTGTGGGAATATTATTTCATTCACTCTAGTAATGATACAATGTTTCTTATTATGTTATCATAGGTAAATGCATGGTTTATATACGGTAATTTGTGCCGGAAAATCTGGACAATTGGCTTTTCCAGACTGGTGGTTCCCCCGTTTAGTCCAGATCTTCGAGGGTTCACTGTATTTGTTCATCGATTTTGGTTGGAAATTGACGAATAGAAACAACACAACATTAAAAAATATGAAATTCTATGAAAAGCAATAGAAAATAAAGGAACAAAATGATGATTCTTAAAACTACCGGTAGGTGTCATAAGGGTAAAAGTGTACTGTAGCAAAATAAATTAATAATTGATGTATAATAAGACTGTTGAAGGATTAATAATATGTTGCAGAGCACAACAGCAGAAACTTTTATTAATGACTGATTAGAGAAATATAAACATGAAAATAAAAAATAAATAAAAATAATAGAAGGTCCAACACCTCAATGCACTGCAACAGTAATAAAAAGGGAGATATTTAGATGCCACAAAGCTTTTGTAGTGCATGATTGTCTTACTACTTGTATGTTATAACCTTGTATAACACTGAATTTTCACCTGTAAATGCAGTTATAACCTTGTATGACACTGGATGTGCTCTTGTAGTAATTGTTTTGTATTCTGTAAGTACTGTATATGTATGCCATCTGCATGTAGTTATCTCATTTGCAACCTTCGAAACAAACCTTTTATATTTATTTTTAATTTGATTTTACATTATTATTATTTGCAGTGTTTTGTTAATATTTGCTTTGTAACTTTGTACTCTGCAGCAAAACTCTACACCCATCAAGAAGTTTGCAAAGAAGAGTCAACTGAGCAAACAGCCATCAAGCAAGTCACACACATCTTGTGATGCAAATGTAAACCACATCCCATTTTCTTGTGTTATTTACTGTACTGTACTTGTCTTATATCATATATCTTATTTTTCCTAGTTGTTTACCATTTCAATACTGTAAGGATTTACTAGTAAGTGAGCAAAAGTTTTCTTTATATTTTTCATTAAGAACATGCAAAAGACACCCCCTTCAAATTCACAATATGTATGTTTACTATTTTTTTTTTTTTTTTTTTTTTGCTTTTGTTGGTGCCATTGTACAGAAACACTGCCACACAGTGGAGGAGTTTGTAGCGAAGCTCCAACCACGTGAGACACCATCCCGGATCCTCCACCTTCCTCATGTCCGTGATGTAAATGTACTTTTTTTGTTGTTGCTTCTGTCAGTATAAAGTTAACTGCCAATGCTTTATAAGTGTTTGGGAATTATGAAGCGTCATTAAATCACAGGATATCATCATATCCATTTTATGTACCTTTAAGATGCTTATACAGGTTAACAATCCCTTATCCGAAATCCTTGGGGCCAGAGGCATTTCGGATTTCGGAATTTTTCGGTTTTCAGAATGGTTAGGTTTTTTTTTTTTTTTTTTGTAATTAGCCCACCTGGGCACAAGTCACTGACCCACATTGGGGCCTGAGGGGCGAAAATATAATAACAATTATAATAATAATAATAATAATTCATAGGTCTAGGTCGTGTTTCTCACATTTTTTATCTTTTTTCATTCTTGTACAGTCAACCCTCACTTTACGCGGTCCCACATTCCGCGTTTCCACGTTTACGCGGTACCCTGCCGGAACCCAGGATGCTCACATTCCGCGTTTCCACGTTTACGTGGTACCCTGCCGGAACCCAGGATGCTCACATTCCGCGGTGCGTGTACCCCTTTACGCGGAGAGTGTCCGGCTCGACGCTATTTTTAGATTCGCCCCTCCTGCCTGCTCCCGCCTCCGCCTGGGCAAGCCGCGCGGTAAGGTTACGCAGTGCATGTCTCTGTTGCATTATCAGTGACGTCATATGACTTATCGGACTGTGATTGGCCATGCATCCCTACCTCCCTCCGCTACTAGCTGTAATTGGTTTAAAGTAATATGACGTGTCCACCCGGGGGAGGGAGGGAGGGAGGGAGGGAGGAAAGACGACGCTTGACCTAGCCGCGGCAGTTTCATCCCTCCAGGCCACACCGTGTAATCGTGCATCCATTGTTCTGTAAAATGGCTTCCGCCGGACCACCGCCCCCAGAGAGAAACCTTTCCTTGCCTGGACCCAGCCGCCCTAAGCCCAAGAAGACACGACGTTCCTTAAGCTACGAGGTGAAGTACAAGATCATCCAAGAGTTAGAGAAAGGAACAAGACAGGTTGATTTGGCGCGCCAGCATGGTGTGAACGAATCTACGATCCGGACGATAAAGAAGGATGCAGCCAAGATAAAGGAGCACATGAAGATCACAAAGTCTACAGGTGCTTCTATGATCAAGTATTTCCACAACCAGGTGCTTCTCAAGATGGAAAAATTACTTGTGAGCTACTTGGTGCGTCAGGCGCGACGGAACATGGCGGTGGACACGCGCTCTGTTAAGGAGTACGCACGTGAACTGTATGCTGCAGTGTCACGAAAGATGGGAATTACAGAGCCCAAACCCTTTAATGCTTCCTCTGGGTGGTTACAGAGGTTTAAGATGAGGAACAAGATCACCAATATCAACATTGGTGGTGAAGAAGCTAGTGCTGACCGTATTGCGGCTAGGGAATTTCCTCCATTTTTACGTGAGATTATGGAGGAAGGACAGTACACCGACGACCAGGTGTTTAACATGGACGAATCTGGTCTTTTTTGGAAAAAGCTACCTTCCAAGACCTTCGTTGTGAAGAATGCCAGCAAGATTCGGGGCCGGAAATTGCAGAAGGAGCGCATCACCGTCCTGTTTACCACCAATGCCTCTGGTACCTGTAAGCTCAAGTTATCAGTGATCCACACAGCCCGCAAGCCGCACGCCTACAAGAGCATGGACATGACCAAGCTAAATGTCCACTGGCTGACCGCACGTAAGGCATGGATGTTCTCTACACTGTCCCTCTCCTGGTTTGATGACTGTTTCGTTCCCGATGTAAAGAAATTCTGTGAGCAACAGAATGTGCCATTCAAGATTTTGTTGCTGCTGGACAACGCACCAGGACACTCGCCCCTACTGTTAGATCATCACCCCAACGTAAAAGTGGTCTTCCTTCCTCCCAACACTATGTCTATATTAGAGCCCATGGACCAAGAGTTAATCTGTAATGTAAAAGCTGCATTCTCAACTAAAAAATTCAAGCTCCTGAACGACTACACCAACACCAGGGATGTGTTGCGTAACCTGAGTGACACCACCACCGATAGCAAGAGCGAAGACGACGAGGATCAACAGTTGGCAGAGCAAAAAATACTTTTCAAACAATTCTGGAGAATATTCAACATCAAGAAAGCTGTGGACTTCTTGGTGGAGGCATGGGATCAGCTGTCTGTAGCAACTGTTCGTCACGCATGGAGACATGTGTTGCAAGGCATTCCGGCCGTTAGGCAGAGTCAGTCTGTGACTGGTGAGGTTCAGACTGTTGCAGTAGCAGTGGACCTTGCCAGAGAAGCTGCACAGAGTGTTACAGCTGCAGGCTTCTCGGAGACCACCAACGACAACATCCTGGAGGTGATAAGGGATCCTCATGTGACTACCGACGAGATGGTAGATGATGACGACGTCAGTGAATAGGCAGGTGGTGCGTCATCCCAAGAAGAACACCGCTTATCCCATAGTAATATTAGGGGTGCCGTCGAGTGTATCGAGAAAGTCAAGCTCCTCCTTTCCGACGACCCTGACGCAAACAGGTATGAAATCTTCACTACCCAGCTGTTGCAGACTATGGAGCCCTACTTCAAGGTTTATCACGACAACATAAACACCAGCCGTCAGCAAAGCATAACAGAGTTCTTCGCCCGCAACCCACCACAGCCAGCCCAAGCCAGTGATAGTGACAGAGGTAGAGACAGTGAAGATGACTTTGAGGGATTTGTCAGGGAGGCCCTGACAAGTGTGGATGACAGTGATGGTGACTCACCTGAGGGCCAGTAGCCTGCCCTCTGCCTCGGAACCAGCCTCCATCCCCGTATGCCGACCCATCTCTTCTACTAACGTAAGTGTTAAACCTAACTTTTAGGTTTCCTAACCTAACCTTTATTTTTCCTAACTTAACCTTTATTTTTCCTAACCTAACCTCTTCTATATTAATTGTGTGTGCATACCATCATAAAGTTAAGATAAAATTTTTACTACAACATAGTTGTGTGTCGTCAAAAAGTGGAGTTTGGGGGTTGGCCCGGTCTCTATTTCAATTAATCCCATATGTTATGTTGTTCACTTTCCGCGTTTCTCACTTTCCACGGTACCCTGTGGGTTGTATTAACCGCGTAAAGTGAGGGTTGACTGTATTTCTTTATTATTATTATTATTATTATTTTATTAATACAGTATTATTGTTATTATTATTATTATAAATTTTATTATTATATTTTATTATTATTGTTATCATTATTATTTTATTTTGGTGTATTTTTTAATTAAAATTTTTATTTACTATGAATAATTATTATTTAAATTATTATTATTATAATTAGTATTACTATTACATTTTCGCCCCCCAGGCCCCAATGTGGGTCAGTGACTTATGCCCAGCTGGGCTAATACAAAAAAAAAAAAAAAAAAAAAAAAAAAAAAAAAAAAAAAAAAAAAAAATTGCTCCACAAAACAAACTTTCGGTTTTCAGAGCTTTCCGGTTTTCGGAATTTCGGATAAAGGGTTGTCAACCTGTACCATACAGTACATTGCTTTACCAGACTAGTTATACGATAGGACACTCAAGAACAGTGGCAATTCTCTTATAACAAGCTTTTGCCAGGGCTGTACACCACACCTACTCAAATAATCAATCTACAGGTATCTGTGGCAGATATTTGTTGGAGAATTAAAGAGCATAGCTTAGTGAAAATAATATGCTTTTTAACCCTTTGAAGACAGTGATGGCAACTTGTGGTCTTTACCCAGTGGATGGGGAAATATCTTAAAATACAAAAATTGTAAATACCCGTACATTTGAATATGACCATATACGCCTGATTTCCACTGTAAATTTCGTCCTGCTGGTCATTTTTCAACATTTCACATCCAAGTTAATTAACATATGCTGTACTGTTCTCTATACAATACTTGAGGGCAAATAAGTAGCCTGACTGACTGTGTGTGTCAAAGTGGATTGATCAATTTGTTTACCTGGTTGCTGATCACAGGACAATTATTACAGCAGTCAGTCAGTATTTAGTGAGGAAAACCAATTTAATTGCCCTTAAACTGCTTTAATCTTCATATTATGACAAGCAGTCAACCAAGCGGCTAACGAGCCGATCAGTAGTGAAGAGGATAAAAGTAAAAAGTATACTACAGACGGGCGACCTAATTGAGGTGTACGGTGGTCCCTCGGTTAACGAACGGTTCGATTAATGAAATTTCTGTTAACAAATTAGCTCCCATAAGGATCTTCAATTCGGTTAACGAACTAAACTTCGATTAACGAAATCCTATTGACAAACACGTTTTGTTGTGAGCATCAGCTGATTGGCTAGTCCGCCAGTACAGTAATCAGTTCTATGTTTACATTCGTTTCCAGTGGAGTAAATATCAAGAAGGTTGTGTTCTTTATAATTTTTCATTTTCTATATTAAAATTATTGGTCATTCTAAAATTTAGCCATCCAAGCTCTGTCTATATAAAAATTTTCAACTAATATTTTTGGCTCGATTATGTAACTTTATTCATTTATTGAAACTCATTTACATGCACACACTGTCCTAAGGGCAAAGCTGTACTGTACATGTAATCAAAATAATGTACAAAATGATTACTAAAAATTTTGTCTAGTACAAACTATAGTATGTTTACATTCAAATTAATCACTATCTTATAAGAATTCCAGCAATGTAAATTATATTCTCCCCAGTCACTTCTATGACATATTATAAGCAAAAAACAAAAACTCAATCTAAAGGACATACCGGTAAATAAACAAATAAATACTTCACTAGACCTTCAGCGCTAACTGTCAAACATGTCACTGTCACCTCCCCTTCCTCCCGCCCTCACCCCACCGCCCTCCCAGCCAGGGTTTTGTGGTTATACAGTAGGCTTTAAGTTTTTATATTACAGTAGAAGTCCAAAAATCCGGACTGCTTGGGGATTGGGTCGGTCCGGTTTTTCGGATTTTCCGGATTCTCAGGCAGTACTTTTAAAATTCAAATTTAAGGAAGAAAAAAGAAGAGATGAA